AAGCTGTCCACCAACCATATAGGTACGTGAATATATAATGATTGATGTATTTTTAACCTACACTTTTGGAATCAGAGAGCAAGCTATAGCGCTGGATCCTTAGTATTCCGGTAGCATTGTTTAATTTTAATTTTATATCGAACAATTATAACTCGACCTTTTAAAAATACAGCGCAACTTTGTGAGCTGTTGCAAGATGTATTTATGTGTCTGTGGACGTGGCTTAAGAGCTAGTGGCTGTACTTATTAGTGTTTGTGGTCGTATTATAAGTGTTTGTGGCTCTAGTGGCTACTCGTCTATCTGTTGGTACATGGTTTGCAGGCGGTATCATTGAATTACATACTTTAAAGGAGATAAGATTGGCCTTACAGGAATTAGGATCGGTATTGAACTGGTTGGATTAATTGTGCTCACCCAAGGCACCGAGAGGGAACTTTTATGGGTGATCTTTATGCAAAGACTCATCTTGTTGATCATACATAGTCAAACCACAGCTAAGAGTACGGATCGGCACATACTTTTGAGTGTATTTCTAAAGCATTTATGCCACGGCATGATCACTGTTGTCGCAATTAGCAACCGTGCTCGATTAGGTACATTATTTCCCCGACCACAAACAACAGGAACAACAAAAATCGCGCTTGGTTAGCACAGCAAAAACGATGCCAGATGCTTGTACCAAATGAGTCGTAAAATGGCAGACAGACATGTGATGTATCTGCTGCGGTACGTTTTAATGATTACGGTATAATGTAGAGTGCACTATCGATCGTGTCCGGAGACAAAAACCATTTTGCGTGATAGACTGGTCCGTGTTTGACGTTTTGCATATAAGTGTGGCAATTATCTAAAGAAGTGTTTTTGTCGTTGCAGTAGTCGTAGAGAAAGATGCAGAGATTGACCAATGACTGTGTCGCAGACCGTCACTGCATTTGATCGCACAAAACAGGTCACTACACGCATACGTCTCTGTTCGATAATTTCTATCGGAGACACGCTCTATATCATATTCGAAGTGTCGCCGAACAATTCAAGCTACATAGAAATTTGTGTACCATTCTTTTTATAAGCCAGCAAGTTAACAGACACAAAATACTCTCGCCCATTCGAGTCGAACCCCTCTTTGTATGAATCACTATCCCTACTTATTTTCCTTGAAAGAGACACGTGGCATATAATGTGGCATTTATTTTAGCTACAGATTTGCCAGAATCTTAAACAGATTCAGCAACTCCATCGGACCTCGGATGTGACCTATAAAACGACGTAAAGCACGTCATATTAGGTGAGCTTATGATGCAATATCTGCTGATGAATTCGTGAAGATAAAAACAGCAGACAAAATCGTGTAATTTCGTAAGGCAACAGAGAGATAGAAGTAATATTAAGGTTTATAACTACAACTCGACGACACTAATGCAACACGTCCACCCAGGAAATGTTACTTCTCGTCGATAATAAGCCCGTGCAACCGATAAGCTCGACTTGGTGACTACGTCTCTCAATAGAGCACATGTAAAAAGTATTTCAACACTGAAGTGAATTTATACTTTAACATATTGCATTCGTATGTAAGAATTTGGTTCAAGAGCAGCATAGGTGAATTGACGGCGCATCGTTCATAGGCATAAAGAACCGTTTTTGAAGGCTTAACGTTCGAGTGAATCATTAAGGATGTAAATTATACCTGAGTACTATAAGGAGCCACTAATAATTTAATTCACAAAAAGTGATAGTGAAGAGCTATCCAGAGATCTATATCTGTGTCCTTGAAAATCAGACTGACTGCGAATGAGCCATAATTTCGTGTATCATCCATTATCTTGTGAATTCTGATGGCGGGTATAGAGTTTTAAGAATTGGAACAACACTAAATGATGCGCGTTGACCGACGAGAGCGGGAACTTATCTACTGAAGAAGTGCAAGCAGCAAAGTCTTAGTCCTGATCTTAATTTACGTAATTTTGCGAATGATGTACTTATCTTGAACGGGACTAAATTGTTTTACGAATTGCCACCGAAAACATTATCTACGAAATAAGGTACAGATGACAGCTTTATGTGCTGTAACGCAAGTGGTTCCAGAAATATGGAGCCCGTGATCGTCGGAAGATTTATAAATTAAGGTACTTTATGGGTGTAGAGATCGAGAAGGGTGGCATCGTATACGCTGCTAACTCAAAAGTCAGTGTAACTGGAATTGTCTTTGGTTGGTGGATGAACGCATTCAGCCTTTGAATGCATGGTCGCAAAGAACTGCCTTTTTCTATAACGCTATCATTCACAAATTTCGATGACAACTCAACAACGTCACTGGGGTCTTTTTCCACCTAACATGACTTCCACCTTCCAACTGCTCGATGCAGCAACGAATTGTAACCATTTCTTGTTTATGCACACCTAAATGTGCGGCAATAAATTCATCCGATAGTTGATTGCTCGCCACAACAAAATTCATGTTCGATGTCTCATGGATCTAATTGAAGCCAACATAGACCGCAGACTTAATGTCTTAAAAGCCATTGGGATTGCAGCTTAAAGCTGGAAAAGTATTGGTGGGGCATTTATAGTAGTTGCTGGATCACGAGTTAGATCATCGAAGCGCCCCAGGTTAAATCAGCGTGTACGAATGATTATCTAAAGTCCAGCCTTGGATTCCAACAAGACTGCTGCAATCTGGCTGATGTAATCAGAACTCTCGGAGTAAGTGTTAGCATGTAGATTATGTTGTGTGGGGGGGCCACGAGCAGATACACGACAAACGAATGGACCTTATTTAGCAGAAGCGGAGTCCGTGGGAGTCGATGTGGACGAAGCTAAAGCGTCTGTTGTTGTAAATGATACGCCTCGGCATGACGTTACAGAAAAGTGTTCTGTAGCTGAGCCGGTTTGGTATGGTAGTACCATCCCAAAAGTCACTGGTTCGATACCGTTGGGGCGTGCAAACGAAAAAGTTAAGCCTTCGGGATCTGGAGTTTGGGGTTCACCAGCACTGTCCTGCCAGACAGTGACGTCCCCTACTTTCGGTACGTTTGGGTGTTTAGAAACGTATGACCAGAAGTAGAAGCGTACGACTAGACGATTACTAATACGCGATGTGGTGATTACTAATGCGCGACTAGACGATTAGTAATGTGCGATGTGGCAATTACTAATGCGCGACTAGACGATTAGTAATGTGCGATGTAGCGATTAGGAACGTATAGTCGAAGAATCAAGTAGGCTCAGAGTAGCAACAGACTTTGCGAATTAAGGACCTAAATATATTTACTTTGCATTTAACCAGCTTTGATCAACTACTTTACCTGCCAGGCAAAAGAAGCACTTAAGCGCTGCTTGATTTTGCATTTGTACTTCGTACGCTCATGTAGAGACACACGTATGAATCAGTCAGATCTGGATAAGACATCACCAGGTGTTGTAAAGACAGGTACGCGAGAGCGAAACAGCTCGACATGAGAGACTTCATATCGTAAACAGTTGTAACACACCATCACGTAGGGACGTGTTCTGAAGCGTTACTTAGATGTCGCGATATTCAATTTTCCAGTCGTTATAAGTCATGCAACTAATTCATTTTGCATTCTCTATTAGAAATTTCATATCGACAAGCTGTAATAATCGGGCAAAAAGTTGTCTCTTATGGACCGGGGCGAGCGTACTCGGTAGAACAGCCATCACAGAAAAAATCGCGATAATGTCTGCGTGGACTCTGCATTGGATCTCCGAACAATCAGCACTCTACACCTATCCGTATTGTGTTGCTTTACGATGTGATATTGTTGGCTGGGAAATCCTTTGAACTTTACATCGAGCCTTTGCTCCAGTATAGACATTGTGTAAACAAGCATTTGACAGGTCTTGTGTAACGGTGCACTAGTCACTAGTACTGCTTCAGCACTGGTGCACCTACGCTGACAACAGCGTAGCTAGTGATGCGCGTCACGTCACGTACACCGTACGTGCAGAGGAAGGATAGCTAGAGAACAACGCGTTCAATTAAATTTAAAAATATAAGCTTTATCAAAAATATAACTGAGTCAAAATCATTAATCTGTGTTCTAGTTCTAACTTAATCATGTTTATCTACAAGAGTGTATACTAAAGTTTTGCTCACCACTTATTGCGCGCGTCCATCGTTGATTGGACCGCTGGAGCTGGCTGATATGATGGCCAATGTCAGCCAATCTGTGAGTGTTTCTGAAAATGATCCCTTACGATAGTATTAACGGAGATTTTAAACTTTATGATAACATTTGATTTAACAAGTATCAAGGGTTAATTACATATGACAGGCCCACTCTGTTACATCTTGTGCAATTTGTTCAAAGTCAGGCTATGTAACTTCTTTTAACCAACGAAAGTCGTATTTGTGATGCATTGCTCCTTGCCCTTGTTGTTTATGAATGTAGTAGCTCAAGCAGCAAAAAAGAGGATTCCAAAGTCATCTCGCACCTGCCCTCTCACCACTGTTTATTCTCTTTTTATAACTGTTGTCTCCAATTCTCGATAGCAAACAGATCCCTAGACATCGTCACAGCTACTAACTTTCGTTTCTAACCAAGCGAGACATGCGCCACCACTTCTGCCTTTTTATTAATCCATTTTAGTCCACCAATCAACCAGCGCATACACATACCCGACCGCTAATTGCTCTGCCAACTATCAAATTCCAATTAAAAAACCAAAAAATAAGCATCATTCTCCTCAAGGCAAATATTCTCACCCATCCGCCAATCGTCCCACTTCTTCTCCTCCAAGTCCAAAAATTAACCTCCAAAACCCACAAAACGTCTTTCTAAAAATTAACCCACCAGCTGACAGACTCCAACCAAATTTCCACCAATGCCTTCCCTCCCCCTCCTCCATGTCACATCCACGTGGTCCACACTCCCCTCTCACCCTCCTATCCTCTCCAAAAGCATATTATTTTCCACCCACCATCCCCGCCTATTATACATTCCCCACAGCTCCCTACACGCGACCACACAGCTTGAAGATGCTTCCTCCACGACCGCCGACCCCACCGCCCGCTTCGCACCCTCCAAGTGCCTCTGCAGCATCGCCATCTGCCGATGGCATCCCATACCTCGGCTCGCGCATCTCGCTCATCTCGAAGACGGATATTCGTTACGAGGGGTTCCTCTTTAACATCGACACGCGGCAGAGCACGGTCGCGCTCCAGCGCGTGCGTTCGTTCGGTACTGAAGGACGTCGAGCAGCTGCGGAGCACGTGCCCCCGTCTGCGCACGTGCTTCAGTATGCGACATTTAAAGCCGCTGAGATCAAGGACTTGCACGTGTGTGAAGCTGCGCCCGCTGAGCCGCCTCTACCCGTGGCTCCAGTGGCTCCAGTAGCTCCAGCAGTGGCTCCAGTAGCTCCAGCAGTGGCTCCAGTGGCTCGCGTGGCTTCGACGTTATTGACGCCGGGCTCGGTGTCGAGTCAGCAGATGGACGTCGCTGAATCAGATCTGAGTCGACCTGTCGTAGCGCATACTTTGCCGGTATCAGAAATGAGTCGGTTGTCCGTGACCAATCAGACGTCAGGATCCGATCGCGTACAAATGGCCAATCAGATGGTGGTCTCAGATCTGAGTCGCCCGTCACCCCAGATGCTTTCTGAGCCAACTGAAGGCCCTCGACGACAGACGAGGAACAAGTCGCGGACGATCCCTGGGATGGGCGGTCATTTGTTGAACCGCAAAGAGCGACATGGTCCAGGTGGAGTGGATGAAACTGGGGCTGGTGGAAGACCTGAGACGGTGTCGGGCGAGTTTAACTTTGAAGCGAAATTGAATGATTTCGACAAGCAGCAGGAGTTCATCAAGCTGGAAGAAGACACGAAGAAAGAGTCGACGGGTAGTTATCAGAAATCGTCATTTTTTGACACGATTTCGTGCGATGCTCTTGATCGACTGGAAGGGCAGCGAGCGAGGATGACGGGCGCTCAAGAGAGGACGCTGAACACCGAGACGTTTGGGGCTGTGGGGCTGAACAATCGACGCAACTTTCGGGGACGTGGACGACGTGGTGGATACCGGAATGGAGGCAGTTGGAATGGCATTCGTAGCACTGGCGGTGGTCGTGGAGGACGCAGCAGCAACAACAATAGCAATAGCAACAACGGTGGAGTTTCGAGGCAGCAGGTTGCTGGCCCGTAAAGCAAGAAGTGGATTGCTTGTGGCGAGTTTGAGACACGATGGTAAATGAGGGTACAGTCGATGCTGCAATCTCTTCAGTTTCGATGAATGTGGTGATGGACTCTTGCTGCTGCTGCTGCTTGCTCGTTAATGAAAATGATTGACAAGTTGACATTGGTATCGATGTGTTTTTTGCTGCTGGAGATGCTACTGCTGTGTCATAGCAAGTCACTCGCCTACTTCTGCTGCATTGACAAGAGAGCTCTTGATTCTCGGTTGCTCGCTTTATCGTACATTCACCAACCTGTTTGACAAAGCTCAACATCATCCCGCACATGCTCCTCAATCTCTATCGACTTGCTTCGATTGCGATGTAGCACCTCATTTACAGCGTAATTCAGAGTTATTCTTCTTGTTTGGTCACACCACCGACTGTATCGGCCGACATAGCAATCGCGAGCAGAGCTGCGAAGCAGAAACAGAGCACGCTTTTGCATTCCGTTTCTTGAGCTAAAGTCGTTGATAAACCTCGCACTGAGTATCAAACGATGAACTGATAGACAGGAAACAGCATGCATATTGAGCTGAATATGCATATGATGTTACTACGTACCGCGAGACCACGACACCCGATATCAAGCTCCTTCTTCCTTTCGCCTAGTTTTTTGACTCGTTAAAAGTGCAATCGAACTCTGGCTTTTTCGTCACTCTCTTGCGTTGAGCTGACATGCCAGAAGATCAGAAATCCGTGCTGCTGCATACGTTTGCAAGGACTCGTTTGACCACCAGCGATGTAAGTTCCTCAAGCAAAGCAAACGTCATGGACCCCGAATTTATACATCGTGACACTGCCCCGCATTATGAACTTGATTCATTCGTATTTACATCTTACGTCTCACCTCCCTCACCTACGTCCGTATCTCGCATCCACCTGACAGAACAAAGTCCAGCTTCAACATGCTATAAGCAATTCATGCTTAGTACTGTAACAACTGACTTTAAAGGATGCCTGTGTGTCGTGGTTCGCGTGTCCTCGATCCATTCGTCGCCTACCACATGCTGGTGCAGTGGAATCCCATGGATGTCACTTGCTTAGCCACATCACTTGCGTGCTGCGAGTCGTTGTACCCGGCACTGTACGTGTCATGGCAGAAGGCTTCAGGTGAAGCCATAAAGTCGAAGGCGTTAAAACCCGCGAGCAAACCAGTGGCTGACAAAGGCCAACAATCGTCCTGTTCCAATTCGTTCGGACACAGGTGCTGCTGCTGCTGTTTCTGGGACCGAGTGGCCGAGATTTTGCGCCTGCGTCCGTCGTCTTCATCGAGCCGATCCCCTTCGATTTCTCGATTATCAGGTGAAAAGTGGTGCTGATTGCGACTCATTTGACGCTGCTGAGCGCGAAACCGCTCAATCTCGACCCCGTTCTCGACAAATTGAAACATTAGGGAATGGGCAGGATCGGGCGAGTCTGGAACTGGTTCCGCTACATTCGCTCAGAAAAAGTTGCCTTTTTTTCAGCACCGGGAGAGCTTGTCTCTGGGGTGCGTTAAAATAGGATTCGCTTTTACCGAATCGCAGCCTGTTGTTGGGGTTCGTCACGAAAAGAGCTGCAAATCAGCGGATTTTACAACGCGGCGCGCCGTCTGAGCCGTGAGAATCGCACCGTAATCTTCCGGACCGATGGAAGACATGACGAACTGAAGTTCCCGACACGAAGTCGGTTGTAGCTCAAGAACATCTACGGAAAAGGACATGACCTGATGCAGCTGATCTGGATGTTAAAGCCGTTGATGGCTTTTCATTGAACGCTGCGTGCTTCATACACGACATTGAGAAACGCAAATGCGAACATTGCTGGCTTGCTAAGGCGAGAGAGAGACTTAATCCGATTCCGTTTCCGAAGATAGGATCACATTCCTGCCGTCTTACAGTGACACGGTCGCGGCGACTTCAGGACGCGACGTCCGACATGCGACGTGTATGTTGAATCACTGTTTGCCATCTATCGAGATCTCTGCAAGATCGATGGGATGTGCTACTTTCAACGCAAGAGACCAATGAGCCTCAAAAACTATGGCCACCACCTGAACGTGGCGCAGCTTTATCATTCGCAGACGTCCAGACGGACGCCATCTTTCTGTAATTCCACTACTTTCTTCCTTGGCTGATAAAAGATGATTGATTTACCACGAATGAGTCGATCGGATCATGCAGCACGGCTAGACAGCGGCATATCGGCCAGGGTTACATTGTCGTCGTTGTCGAACCATCAGCCATCATCGGAACCTTTATTTTTATGATCTGAAATCTCTTTTTTTGGGGCTGTGATCAGGTATGACAGTCCTGCGAAAACCTGCGTGTCACACCTGATTCTCAACTGCCAAGTCGGACGTGGCAGCGCAAGATATGACTAGTCAGAAAGACCCGGGGCGTTACGTAACGTGCACAGAACAGTCGGTGGTCTTCGTGATGGGCTATTTCTCTCACCGCGCGTGCGTCTCACCTCGTTTTTCATTGGCTGAAAGTCGGACGTCGTGCTTGTGGCTTTACGCAAGTCGTTACTCAGTCGCACTCATTTGCGTATCAACTCACCACTGGCTGTACCCATTCGTTGCCATCTACGATGTCCTCGTCGTTCTCGTACCAAAACTGCGTTGCTGAGGTCACGATCACTTGATTGAACATTGCTCCTCTTGCTCGATTTTGATTTGGATGATAAGTAAAACTCACTTGCTATCGTATGGTCTTTAGGTTGACGAGTACCTCTCTGCTGCTTCGGTGAGTGATGACGAACCGGGACTAGCGTTTCAATGGGACGAGAACGCACTCGTGCAATTCGTGGCGGCAGCAAATCAAGTGGATACTAGCGTGGCCATGTCCAGTTGGTTATCGCAGCCTCGTGGCAGTGTCACGTCGGACTCGATCGTTGAAGACATGATGGCGTTCTTGGCGACCAAAGCGGGTGGCCGGTTCGGCCGCGTGCTCCTGGCCCCTAATAGCGTCGTCCAGTTTGGCCAGCTCTGTGGCATGTTTGCGTACATTGAAAACGACGTGTTTATGCGCGCAGCAGCGGATGCAGCCGGCATGAGTGCCGGCACGCCTCTGGCCAAGATCTTTTGCGTGACGACGTGCGCCGTATCGACTGCTGTACCGATGGAATTTCCTTCGCGTGAGAACCCGAGTCGACGTCTATTTGCATGAGCAAGTCTCGACGCTGCCAAATTTTACTGCTTTGTATGATCGTCGTGACGTGCGTGCGTACGTGTATATCTGTGAATTTGCGTACGTGTGTATGCATGTGGACATTGGCGCGAAAGAGACCAAGATCGAGGCAAAATACGTGCGAGGACGAAGTCTTGTCTGTTGCAGAAAGGATAGAGCAAGAGAGTCGTTGAGCGTCGATCGTCTTCTTTGGCCTTCGCCAGAATCTGCAAATCTTCTTACACGCGTAAGGTGTCCACGGTATATCATACGCGTCCAAGTGCTTTCGATTGATGAGACGCGGGGGTCCATGCTGCAAGCTTCCTCGTGCTTGTTAGGAGCCTGATGCCAATTTTTAGAGTGCCTGGTGACTACAAGTTTCTACCAACAGATTACCAAGCGAGGACATGTGCTATTCGGATAAAGGTGAAAGTAGCACAAGTGATTTGCGTAAGCCCAAGCTTCCGGTACAGTGCTCACAGAGTCGACATTCGACAGTGTGCTGTTACAATTATGTATGTCACACCGAAGCGCATCCACTATGGTATGTTCCAAAAAATCACTTTACAAAGCAAACCAAAGAATCTCCTTCTACTGACACAAAAATGAATGCCGAGCCGGACGCGAATTGCACGCCCCAGCCAGCGCCTGTGACTCCAGCGAATGGGACAGAGACTTCGCACATGTCGAATTCACGGTCGCCTGCCCATCTCCTGAAAAGCCCCAAGGCCTTTGAGCTGAAGCCATTGCGCATGCCCAAGCCACTGTCTATTTGATATCACACAGTAGCAATGTGGAGAAAAAATAAGCAATACAATGTTCGATGAGGTGCCGAAGTTGCTGTTTTCTCTCCAAGTAGTACTTGAACAAGTTTGCTTTATGCTGAGACAGATGTTGGAGATTGGATGTGGTCGGGCGTGACTCAATGATTCATTGGCTTCGAAAAGAACGTTAGCATCGGAGAAGAAGCGTGATGCACTGCTGATTACAGTTGATGAGGTTGAACGATGGAATCGAGTGCAGTAATCGTAAGTGGAAGGGAAAGCAACGAGTCAGCGTGCGTATGGTGGAAGCAGAACCTCTTGGCCCTTACTTTCTGTCTGTGTGTCTAAAGTCACCCAGATGTGCGTCTGTCGTAAGCTTGGCAGCGATTGCGGGAAAGCTACGCGAACGCGGCTGTCTGAACTAGATTGTATATATATGAATGAGCGATCCCCTGAGCTTACGCCCCTATCTGATACAAAAGAATGATTGGGCTGCCGTAATTTAGAAGTGCAACACGATGCAAGCATAGATCCGATACGAAGGCACTTTTATCCATGTGTACTTTGCCGAGCTTCTTTCTTGCTGGCACAATGAGCAAGTTTGCACCAAAACGACTTCTTTTCTGAAGTCGCATTGGGCGTCTTGTTGTGCGACATGCTGCAGAGTGCATGGGACGTAATGCAATTCTTCAGTAGCAGTTGAAGAACGCGCTCCGCAGAAAGTAGCCCAGCTGAGACCATTACACATCTGAAAGACTTAAGAGCGTATTGTATCGTGTATTGCACTGCAAAGTTTTCCAGATATGCAATGGTCTTAGTTGAAGGACTCTCTAAATAACTTTATTTTAATCATCTACAGCAATAATGAAACGATCATGTCATCAACTACTGTAAAAAAATGACAACGATCGACGAACGGGTAGGTGTACTCTGGTTTACTGTCTCTTCGTCGCTATTGCTAATGGCACCTGGACCATGAAGTCGACATAGTAGGTGAAAAACGGAAGCAGGTCAATTTGGCGGGGAGCGAGGCTATTCATATGCGCAAGAGGTCTTACTAAGGAATAAGCACCACAATCCCGACGATGGCAACCTACACGTTGCTATTCATGGGAATAAAATCGCGCACTAATCGTGCACTATCAGAATGTGTTAAGGGATAGAAAGGCGGTATATCTATCAGATGGCAAGTTGCATATCTCAACGTGGACTGCTGGTCACATTGCTAACTATCAAACTTTACTCCAATCGCATCCACATGACCGATTGTGACGGGGTTACACGCGGTTGTTTAAACCGTTTATGTTGTGTGTCCACACCAAGCTAAGATCGGTGGATCTGATCGGCACTGTATTGGCACCACGTACTTACGGTAATACCGCACCTTATCGAGTAAGGAAAAAGGAGACAGACTTCTGTCGTAAGATCGCAATGTAGAAGTCAGGCAGGCAAGGTTTTAGGGTTTTATTACCGTAGTTCAAGATTAATAAAGTTCAGTTCCCCTTTTGAATCGTTGAACGCTAGTGGTTAGTCAAGGCGTAGTGTGTTGTTTAGAGCATTAGCCTTGTCAAGGCGTTTACTCTTGTCCAACAAGTAGCGGATAGTTAGTGTGTGATTCTGTAAATCGTAATCCCTTTGGAACCAAGATTGTTAAGCTTGTACGCTTGAACGACGGCACTTCGCTGTTAGTTTGTTACGACTAAAAGACTCTGCGAGTTGAAGACTTCCTCTGTTAAGGAGCGCTAAGTAGCTCCGCTACATTCTAAATCGCTGCAAAGGATTCAATACGAGCAGCGACCACGTAGCTAGGCTTTGCGATGGTGAAAAACGAGATCCAGCTTTAATATAGCAGGCCTTATATTTATGTAGAGTTGCTATAAAAATCTGTCGATTGCCACAATTTAATGATGAAGTGATCCACAGAATAAGGAAACTCGCAGCGGACTGCAGGCAACCTATCGGCGGAACACAGGAAGTCCCGCAACAATTCCAGACGCTTCAGCCTACTCACCTTCGAACTTGCAACATGATACACGTGCACCCCATCTTCTATTAGAAAGCCTACGTCTGCTCATGCCTTGTAGTTTAGAGTCGAGGTCAAGTCCAATACGCCAAAGGCAGCGTGACCTGCTGTTGCTGATTCTACATGCACAAGGGTCGCGACGAGGTAGAGGTCGGCCATAATTGTCGCACGTGCAAATGGACTTGCAACACTAAGATAGTCACCGCGCCGTTATGCCCACATGTACAGCAGCCATTTAGAATCTCAGCACACCAACTCGTAGGCTTTCTACAAGAAGGTGTCAAGCGCCAAAAAGCGCTGTACTTTGCGAGCAAGACCAAGCCTTTCAATAAACTACGTCATCGTTTGGAGTTCAAAGACGACACGCTGATGTAGGATACAGCGCTCGCCTCGTCAAACCATTATTGACGACCGTTTCTCTTGCGAAGACGAGGTGTTTGCCGATATGGACGTAAAAGGCTACAGTGACGACAGTGTGGCCGACACGATCGAAAAGAAGGCTACCAGAAAGTCAAAAAAAAGATCAACGCATTGAATCTGCTCATCAAGAAGGAGAACGATGCTAATTGGTACCAAGTCACCATCAAAAATGTAATGCGGCTCAAGTAGTCCAGGGACCACATTTTGGCCGGCTTGTCGTTCAGGCAGACCGCTTCCACCATCCAACACTCAAGACACCACCCCAGGGCGGCAAAACTAACTAGTGTGAACGACGTGGCAGTTGGCTAGTACGTCTGCATATTGGTCGGAGCCTCTTTGCAGACATGTCAGACATGATGGACGGCATGTTTGTTTTTAGGCAGTCCCGCTTCCCTTTGATTGAAGCATGAAACTTGATCAGTTGTTCTTTTGGCATTCTCGTGCAATTGTGCTTCAAAGGTCGGCTTTGCAACATCCATTTTATCGGGCTCCCGATGTTCGATCGCCACACGGCGGTGAACATCCTCAACCTGCTGAATAAGTTTCTGGACGCGCTTTAAACAGACTGGTGTGGCAAACTGCTAAACTTTTTTGAGATGGACGGATCACCATGACTGGACGAAGCGCTGGCCTCTTCACAAGCAGCACGCTGAGATCTGCGCAACGTGCTCCGTGTCTGGTGCGCACCGCATCAGATCGACGTGGTCGTCAAGTAGACAGATGACAGCATCAACAACGGCGCCCTAATTAAGAAATCAACTTATTATCCGTCCATCTGCGGTCTTATTACACCGAAATTATCACGATTGTCGTCAAATATTCATAGAAGACAAACCGGTGGGTGCATCTTGGTCGATAACTAAACTTCTACAAGAAGCATCGCCGCCAGATCATAGCGCGCATCATACAGAGACCCCTTAAAAATTCAACAGCGGCCGAATATTGGCTCGTGACCTACGAGTTGGCGCCTGCATTCAATGAAATCAACATTACCTTCACAAAGCTGCCGATTTGGTCGCTCCTATTTGCGCAACAGAAGAAGTAATTAAATGCATTCATAGTTACTCTCCCTAAAATTCCCTGCGTCGATTCGTCCGTCCGAATGAGCGCGACGAGGACGGCTAAATTGCAAATGTATCGTTTGGCTGTACGCGGATCGACGTCGTCAGCCTCGAACACCACATTCGTGACAAAGAAATAGCTGCTTGAGACTTCTTTGCTATTCTCGGAGTCGGTATCAGGTAGTTACAATAGAAATCGTGACGTAATTAGCCACGCTAGTCGCGGGTACCATGGGCGTCAAGGCTAACCATGACGAAAACAACCTGCCGCTTAAAAATGATGCGCCATCTGTAATGGCTTAATAATTGGCTAATTCGCATTCTTCCAAATTCATTCAGGACGTGCTAGACATGTTACGCGTCTTCCTCGACAAGTTCTGGACGCCTGATCAAGTTTAGGAACTCGTGGCCGACCATCGGGACCTTGTCAAGAATTACGGCGGCGACGTTGCCGTCCAAGAGGCGGTTGACAAGCATGACACGAACACGCTATTCAATGACGTATGGGAATGTGTTCCCGCTAAAAGCTACTTTGCGTTTTTTGTGGCAACCTCGAAACTGTGTCAAAGGTAATTATCGATACTTTAATGAAGAATAAGACGAGCGCCGCACCGCCCTCATGCATCTGTCCTTGAAGGCAATTTTTAGGCCAAGCAACGCGCCATCCTAGTAAACATGCACAGTATACGTCGTCCTGCTGTCTAAAGTCATTCTGCAGTCAAGACGCCTTTCATGGATTCGCTCACAATTTACTAGCAGCAGTTTCCTCAAAACAGCTTATTTCGTATATAATGTAGGAATCTCCTAAATGATGAGGTCTACCTTAAAGTGAACGTTGTGATCTACATTGAGTCCGGTATAACAGGGAAGGCATGATGTCAGTGGCTAAACGATTATGACAGCAGCATGTTTTAGAGGAAGCTACACAATCGTTTACAACAAGATGCTTGTGTGTCAACTACAGTCACACACATGTGCGCTCTTAAAAGTAAAAATATAACAATTGCTTGCAGATTAGAATTATCGGAATGTCAAGCAAGAACAAGAGCAAGTGAACGCCAGACCAGCGATGGGAGACGATTTCGTCACAAGCAGCAATCGCATACAGCCTCATTCCTTTTTTGTGCCTGTTACTAAAAAAGGTGATGGCTACAAGTTATGTCGAAGAGCAAGTTTTGAATCTGGTCTGTTGCTACTGTAACTATAGTCCACCGAACTGAGTCGATTTCAGTATATTTACGTACTCCTTCGCATGCTACTCGTTATTGGCTAATTGGGAGGATTGCGTGTTGCGATGTGACATGATGTGACAACAGCGTTGTCTTGATCTTTAGATTTGAAGCAGCTTGTTAGTGTTGTTGGTTTCTTATAAAGAAGGATGTCTAAAAAGTGAGGTTGATAGCTTAAATGGCCTGTGCAACAACAGTAAGTTAGTTCAAACCGACGATACAAGATAAAAGACGATCTGACGACGAAAAAAAAGCCAGCAAGCTTTATCTACCCCCGAGCGAGGACGGTGACCATGGATAATCGGATATTTTTGTTCTTTTGACTACTGTGGACAGAGATAAGTATCGTCTATATGCACGATATTTTTGTGGCTTCTTGTAACGGGGCACACTTTGTTTGGGATGCCGCCAAACTTCACGTACACTGTACGTGCAGAGGAAGCTATCTACTTGAACGACTCGGTCAAGTAAAGGTAAAAAGAGAACTGTATTTAATATAGTTAAGCTATCAATACAACTATAGTCTTTATCTAACTATATTAAACTACGCCGTCGTATGAGGACGACCTGCTCACCACTCAATGCGCGCTTCTAGCAGCGATTGGTGGCAATATATGGCGGATATGTCGTATATCAACCAATCTTGGAGCAGCGCATAAATATTATCCAAAAGGGGATAATATTCCTTCAATACTATCGACCCGAATAATATCGGTAAAATATTGTCATCCTAGACAAAATTCCTATTGACACCGTTTGGTGTCAATATCATGTAAAAGGCTTCCCCGTTACCTCACCCCCCCTTAACCATCAATAACCCGTTGATTGAATTAGAATTGATTCGGACAGGGTGAACACCGTTGGATCACCCTAGGAAAGGGAGCACTTGTTGGTCTAATTCCGTTCATTTGCCAATCCAACGCATGGTTTTCAAAACCACGCGAGCTGCTACTGCAGCAGCAAGAAGGGCGGCTGCACGCATACATGCGGCCGCGGAAAGTGCCTCTCACGCCTCAGCAGCAGGCGATTCGTCGCCTATTGTCGTGAATCCTCCACGTGGTGAGTCACCACGTGCGACAGGTACGTCCGTTGCGTCTGCAGCGGGTACCTCGAATCGCAATCCAGACGAGTCTGAAATTGAGCTCAATTATTCCGTCGAGTCGGATGATTTATCCGACTCGAAGGCGACTCCTTACGCCTCGGGATCACCCGGGGCGGGCGCTACAAAAGCCAGGCTGACTGGCTCTGGTCAGCGCGGGAGTATCATGACCGAGATCTTCGGATTGAGTGATTATTCCGATGAGTCTCCGCCTTACGCAAGTCCATCCAACGATAGGACGCGTGGAGATGGTGGTGATGCACCTATGCATCACCACGAGCGAAGTAACTCGGGGGGTCGGGGTAACACTGGTGCCAGTGCTCATGCTGGCACCAATCAAGAGGCCAGGGACCGGAATGTTCTGCGCCACGCTCCTCAAGTGGATTCTCCGTGAATGCCGCCATCGAGAGAGTTGGACCGGTTGGCCGGCACGACTACCGAACGGAATCGAATCCCGTTGTTCGATTGCAGGAAGATTTGCCCACCAGATTCCAGCACGGAAACTATCCGTGCTGAGAAAGAGTTCTTCACCGATGCGCTCTTCAATTATTGGTAGTACGATGGTAGCCGTGTACGCGATGGCAAAGCCTTGGTGCAGGAACGGAATGCCCTCATCCACAGCATCGAGTGTATTGGACGTGAGGCTTGGCTCGCCAAACTTGATGCATCTCGCATCAGGTTTTAGAAACGCAACCCAGTAAGGGCGCGTTACAAGTTGCACCGGCTTTCAAGAAAGGCAGACTTCCCGTGTCTCTCGTGGGGTGATTCGTCTCCAGATTGACTGGACAATTCGAAATGTGTCCTTTTAGAGGCCTACCCCCTAATGATCTCTACTCGAGGGCGCGCATCTCTTACGAGATGACCGAAGGGATCGACACTTTGCAATCCCTGTACTCGCAGTCGTGGAGGTCGTTTTCCAATGGCCCTTCTTTAAACGCAGCGGGTGGGTCTCGTCGTACTGCTCGACGAGACCAAGGACATCAACAATCAGCTGGGCACGAGGCTTCCAGCTGTCCCACGCTGGTGGATAGCCACGCCAGCGGACGAGGTAACTCGTCCGGACGCCATTCACATCGCGGTGGTTCAAAATACGCTCCACTGGGAAGCGTTGACCACCGCTTGATTCCACCAAATGATGTGGTGGCGGCGGCGGGAACACCTGGTCCGGCTCAAGGGTCGGATCAGATTGATGTTCAAGATCTGAACCGTGTAACGGAACAGTTGCAAGATGACCTGGCTCACGAACGGACTCGGCGTGTGGGCTTGAGGATCTTGCAAGGTATAATTACAATTCCCAAACGCACGATCGTTCGGACGATCGTACCGCTTTTGCGTTCGCGCAACTTGAAAACGAACGTTCGACTCGTTCTCTTAGTGATGAGCTGTCTGCAACTCGTCGAGACATCGCTGAGCTACGTGAACAGGTCGCTTCGCTAGTCGACCAGACTGGTTTGTTGAAACAGGACCACTCGAATGTGGTCTCGGCTCTCGACCGTGGAGGTGTTCTTCGCATCTCGAAACGGGCTCGTACTGATAGTACGGGCGGAGACGACCAAAGTAAAACGTAGGATGCGTGTGCATCTTACGGGGCAGTTCAATCGTGTATGCGTTGCCCATTCGGCGCAACACACAAACTGGACCGATGTATTTGGGCAGTAATTTACTGCTGCCCACGTTTGCCACTGCGTGCTTCGGTAAGTTTAATGTAGACAGTAAAGCTAGGTCTTCTATATCAAATGATGGAACATTTGCTCTTCCAAGTTTGTCTTCGTTTCTCTTCTATCTGTCTAGTGTATACGCAACAGATTCTTGAACGAAGCGGACAACCGCTTCGCGAGTCAGCAGAAATTCCTCTGCTGATTCGTCCTTGTCAACAGCAGTACGCTTGATGTGCACTGCTAAAAAGAACGTTGTCTTCATCAGTGAGGGTATCTTCTTCCTTACTTTGGCGGTCATTGGCGATGCTAAATATGGCAGCATCGTCGTCATCGACATCGGCATCCATCATGTCATCATCATTGTCGACGGGTGATGAGCAAGAACCAGATCGGTTTTTTTTTCGAGCTTATCCACCCCCTTCTAAATTAGAGTCAAACTCGAAGAAGGCGGGTACACGTGGATGGCGTAGGCCATTCACGAAGAACGGTGTATGCGTTGTCGACGCGTGCACCGAGTTGTTGATGGCGAATCCCGCCATGGGCAAGAACTCACTCCAGATCGTAAACGAGTGGAAATACACTCGAAGTATCTCTCCGAGGACGCGGTTGACGCGTTTCGTTTGACCGTCTGTTTCTAGATGGTTAGAAGTTGACATCGTCAAACGTGTTCCAAGTGAACGAAATACGGATTGCCAGAACTCCGTCGTAAAGCGGGGGTCCCTATCAGACACGATCTCTTGGATATCACCCGTGAAGTCGGAAGATAGTATCGATGAAGACACGCGCATAGCCCTGGGCTGTGATTGACTCCGGTAATGCAACAAGATGTACCATCTTGCTGACAAACGATCAACAAACACAAGAATACCCGTATTCTTAAAAACATCTTTGGGAAACCCGAAGACGAAGTCCATCGATACGGACTGCCAACACTCTGCCGGAATCGGAAGAGGCTGTAAGGGTGCGCGGGATGAAGGACTAGGCTTCACCTTTTGACAAACTTCGCAAGCGCGAATGTGTTTGCGCACAAACTCATACTGGCGGGGCCAGTAGAAGTCACGACATACCCTGAGGTAAGTCGTGACTTCTACCACGATGCCCACTTGTTGGAACATGGTGACACTCATTATGATGCGCAATCGCAAATCATTGTGGGCCGGAACGAAGACACGAGGTGTGTCGCCGTTGACTGCTGTACAGTACATCAGTCCATCACGGACAGAATACCGTTTGGTTGAAGAGCGGTATGGAGTTGACAAGCTTTTCAAAGTTTGACTGCACGGATTGGATACGTAATCCTTCAATCGCAGAAGAGAATTAACTTCTGTTTATGTTTTTCGCACGTCATCGAGCAGATTCGACGACGGAACGCTCACTGTTAGTGTTGCGACAGTGAGATCACCCCCACTGTTAAGTTGAGTAGTCGGCTCGAAATAGGGCCGACGCGAAAGAGCACCAGCGACGACATTAAGTCGTCATGGTTTTTACTCGGCGGATAAGTTGTACTCCGCGAAGAAAGACAGCCACCTCGCTAATCTTTGCGAGAGGTGTGGACTGTTTACGGCCGTGCGTAACGACGCGTGGTCGGTTTTAAGGATGAAGGGCCTATCTCCTAAGAGATGTACCCGAAACTTGGCCAGTGCATATTTTATGGCAAGGAGTTCCGTGTCATGAACCGGATAATTACGCTCAGCTAATTGCAGCTGCTCAACGCCGTCTGAGATGTACTGCATTAACGCGCAGCCGATTGCAAAATCGCTGGTGTCACAGACCACATGAAACAGCATATCCTGGTCTGCAATCGCGAACACAAGCGATTGCACCAAGCTTTTCTTGATACATTAGAAGGAGTGCTGACACTCAGCGCTCCATGACCACCCCTCGTTTTTCTTCAGCAGACTAGAGGGACGTACGGTCATCTCGGCATAGTTGCGAGAGTATTTGTGCAATTAAGCTGCCAAGCCAAAGAACTTTCGAATTCCCTTGACATCGACTGGCACAGTACAGTCGCTAATCGCCTTTGATCTTTTTCGGATCAGGGCGTACACCTTTTTTACCCATGATGCAGCCAAGAAGTGGAATTTCGTTCGCTGCAAATATACACTTCTTGAGGTTCGCGAACAACTTATGCTCTCGCATTAGAGTAAGAACCTCCCGGACGTGGATTCTATGAACCTCAACGTCCGTCTTTCCAACCATATCCCGACTATGGACGAAGACATCGTCGAAGTAACTCGGTGCTACATCGCGCACCGATCACAACAGATTCGTAACACATCTATTAAACGTTGCAGGGGCGTTACTTAGCCCAAGTGGCATCACTAGCCGCTCCCAGAGTATACCACTGGGGGTGCTCACTGCTGTGTTCGGGATGTCTTGTTCATGCAATAGGATCTGATAGAATTTATCCATCAAATTCATGGATGGAAAGATGGTACTCTTTTTCATACCATCCATGATGGCGTCCTCACTTGGGATCGGCGTTTGAGCCGGTACCGTTGCAGCGTTCAATTTGTTGAGCGCGTGGACTTTCCACCACCCTCCTGTTGCCTTTCGCACACAGAAGGTCGGAGACCTGTGCGGGGATGTTGATTCCCTCACATGACCAGCCGCTCTACGATCGGAAAATAATTTTTTTATCGCTGTTACCTGTATACGAGGCAGTGGCCACTGCTTTATGACACAGTATTTCGAACCAGGTTTAAGTTCGATCTCATGCCGAGTGCCTTTGTCTTTGAGAAGCTCGCATGGCACGGATTCCGGGAAAACATCCCTGAATTCCACCAAATCCTTAAACAAAGGATTTGTCGTTAAAGACTCCCAAGATTGAGACGTGTGTATCGCTCAATCCGGGTCTTCTCTTCGAGGACACTCTCGTCCATAGATGAACTACTGAGAAACTGTTCGTTCTAAGCAAACACTTGTGCCGACTGAATATCGGCGACGTAGTCATCCTCTGTGACGAGTACACAGATCTGCTTCATCTTATCACTACGCAGATCTCGCAAGAATCTTTTAGATTCTAGCGTTGGCAACTTGACTACCTCCGAAGCTGACTTCGGGGCGCGAAATAAAATCAAGTGTATAAGCGCCTACACTTGACCCGTCATTCACCAAGACATCCACTGTCTCGGTGATTTCCTGGGTAACACATCCGCAGGTAATTGGGGATCCACACCCTTAACATAACTCTCTTGAAAGTTATTGCTCTCAGAAACGCTAAACTTTCTTCCGTTACGGGTACTGTCACGGTCACGTTCTCTTCGATCGACCCTCTTTCAGTCGAGCGGGCTTGCTTTACGATCGACTCTCAAATAGTGGATCTCGCTTCAATGTGTTGTCCATCCTGAACAACACTAATCTCTCTACTCGAATGCACCCTTCTTGGTGTGCATCCGTGATCCAGTTCACTCGACTCTTCGAGTGGTGAACCTTCGGCGCAGCCCGTGTCTCCACACAGGTGCCGGAAGCTGGTTACACAGTGCAGTGACCTACTACACTGTGATCTTTTGCCATCGTACTAATGACCGTACCACAAGTGAGGCCATCGCACTCACTCGTAGTACATCCACACGCTTGTGGACGCTCCAAGACGTTCATCAGATGACCATCCAATGAACAAACGGCAGGTATCTTCACGGATCGATGCTGCCAGCTAACCCATGGCCGGTACTTTCTAAGCAATGGCAGACCGAGGACGACATCAAATTTATCATCCAAATCTAGTACGATGAAGTCATCATCATACTGCTTTCCTTCTAGCGTGCAGTGGATTCCCACAGCACGTTTGTTTACTGTTACGGATGCGCCTGTAGCAACGCACACCGTCGTCCTCGGTGGAGGGAACTCTCATCAACATAGTTGAGACTACTTTCCCTTAGCGACTGGCGTCGAATAAAACTGTTCGACACACCACAGTCAACTAGGGCGCGAAGTGACTATCCACTTGTCACTTCGATCTTCAAAGTTATGAAAGACTCCTCATCACTAAGGGCAGTAACACACAGAGACTGCGAGCTGGGAGCAATCTTCGTCAAGAGTCCTGTAAATTCTCTTGACGTTGCTGGATCAGCAGGGTGCTCCGCCCCTACTGACCCTGCCCATCTTTTGACGGTCCGACTTGCTGTTGCTGCTTGGCTAAATAGTCGGACCCACGCCTCGGACTCTTCCTTGGCCAACGGCGGTCATCACGTCCTGTCTTCGGACGTGTTGCAGTGCTCGGGACACTACACTCATGAGCGTAGTGTCCAATTTTTTGACAGCGATGGCATCTTGCCGTTTGCTTGTGACTTAGAGAGCGAGAGATCTCGCTGTAGATGTAACAGAGGTCCAATGGTTCGGGACCTCCTGTTTCCTGTCGCCTCATCGGACGATAGTTGGACGAGTTAGCCTGAGACTGTCTCAGGCTAAAGGCTTCTTGTTCCGCATACGCTATCGCCCTTTCTAGCGTATGGAAGTCCTCTCGGAACATTAAGGACTCCACTGGCCCATCCACAAGGCCGTAGACGAACACGTTAATGAGCGTATGCTCATCAACAGGGTTCTCCGTAACGCTACTTGCAAGGTAGCGTAGGTGCTGTGCGTAAGCGTGCACGTCATGCTTATCTTGCTCTAGCCTCAAGAGTGCAGAGCGTGCTTTGAAAACGGCTCTCGGCGACTCAAACGTCTCTTTGAGGCGAGACTTCAAGGTCTTTAACGACTCAAACATGTTTAGGTCGTGACGCTTGAGCCCTAAGGCCCAAGTCTTTGCTAGTCCTGTCAAATTTGACAGGGCGAAGGTGACTTGAATCTCGTAACCCTCGATGAGACGGGCCTTGATGGCGTCGTCTAACTTAACGAACCATCTAAATAGGGAACCTTCGTCGGTTCCCTTGTACTTTGAGATATCTATTTTCAAGGCTTTGGAACGATGCGTGTGCATCGGCCCGCCCATCGACTGATGAGAGCCTTGCTGCTGTAGCAAGACTATCTTTTGTATTTCGACGGCAAGTTACCCTTGTAGGAACTTGTTGGTAGCAGCATGTCGCTGGTCTCTGCTTAGAGAATCCAACATACCACTGATGGCGGGTTCGCCCATGAGCTCACTCATGCGGCCAACTACCTCCCATTCTGAGTCACTCAGGTGGGAGTAGCCTTCACGTGTTCAAGGCCACATCTTACGCAGGTCAAGCTCGTGTGAACAGAAATGCTGGTGTGTGCTTCTGTTTACGTCACATGAATGTATCGATGCACACAGGGTTTTGCTAATTGTGGTGGAGCATGGCACCTAGGCAACGACGCGTAAAAGCGATTCATTTGTTGGCGGGCAAACAGTGGACATCTGGGGATGTAGCTCAAATAATAGAGCGCTCGAGTAGCATGCGAGAGGTACGTGGATCGATACCCTGCTTCTCCAGGCGTGGGTAGTGTGACGTGAAAGCTGTCGTCTTCTACGTCCAACATGTTCATGTTGGACGGACACTAAGCAGTCTTTGGACGGACTACAAAGTGCTACTAGGTGTAACGGGGCACCCTTTGTTTGGGATGCCGCCAAACTTCACGTACACTGTACGTGCAGAGGAAGCTATCTACTTGAACGACTCGGTCAAGTAAAGGTAAAAAGAGAACTGTATTTAATATAGTTAAGCTATCAATACAACTATAGTCTTTATCTAACTATATTAAACTACGCCGTCGTATGAGGACGACCTGCTCACCACTCAATGCGCGCTTCTAGCAGCGATTGGTGGCAATATATGGTTGATATGTCGTATATCAACCAATCTTGGAGAAGCGCATAAATATTATC